ATACATTCTAAGCTTTTTCTGGCATGATTTAACTTATGTGCATAGGTTGCCATGGAACTGTTCAGTCCCTTTGTTTCATCTTTTAGTCTTTCAAGCTTTTACCAAATATTTGTCATTGGATCCCCTCTCACTTATTTTGGCCATACTCTATTCACAAGGGGTGAGAAATCTTGATGTTATATTGTCACCATACCATGTAGAGCTTGAAAGGCTTGGGATGAGTGATTATCCTTTTCCATAACTGGATCAGGATTGGTGAGTGATCATATACCCCAGAGGAGAGGTAATTAGCTTCTACATGCCCATATACCTGAGTCCAACTGAATCTCCCAAAAGCCCAGTCAATTTTACTGTAAACTCTACTGCTTGCTGGTTGTTTATTACACCAGGTAAATAAGCATACCTTTGTTCTAAGAGGTGTTAACTGCAAAGAGTCAATGCATTGCTTGAAATTCTATACTTCACCTTGTATAACTGGTTGTCCTATTCTATCATCAGTGTACAAGACATTATTGAAGTCACCACTAATAAGCCATGGTGTTTGTATCTGAGTGCCTAGCAATTGTAGGTCATGCCATAAGAAATCTCTTTCATGGGGTTTATTCCTCGCATAAACTACTGTCAAAAGAGTCTGAAAATTTGCTAATGAATCCTCCATAAAGCAGTGTATAAATTGCTCATGGATTTTGAGGACCTTAACTATTAGGTGGGATTTCCATAACAGCCATATCCTACCATTTACTGTCTGGACATAATTACAGTAATATCCCTAGTCTTTGGCTACTATGTTCAAGATCTTTTTTTCCTTTCTTTCCTTTACTCTAGTTTCTAGACATCCAATGATATCTATTTTATTCTTTTTCAGAAAAAGCTTCAGCTCCTTCTGTTTATAGGGCTTGTTCAGCCCCCTAATATTCCAAGTACACACTATCATGGGGGTTTGAATGCATGATCCTTTCCAGACTCTTCCAGTCTAGAAGTGCTTGCCATACATTCTTCTAGGATCATAAATCTATTTGCACTGATGACTCCTTCATTTTGTTGAGGCTGCTGTCCTAGTTCAGTAGGTTGTCTTTGGTCTATTATGCACTCACCATTCCTCATGAGTATCTGTCTAGGAGATTTTACAACAACCATTTTTTTTTTTTACTATTTCCAGCTTCTTCCTGTGGAGCTCCCACCTTTGTTGCATCGGCTTCATTTTCATGCTCTACAGGTTCTTTTGGTTTCCATTCATGCACTACTTTTTTCTTCCAGGCCCTTTTTCTTCTTTTTGGTGCCTGAAACTCCGCCTCATCAGTGTTCTTTTAGGTATTCCTCCAGCATTCAAACTTATCATGGCCAAAGTGATTGAAGCAATTTGTTGCTGAATAGTTCTTGAAGGGGTGTCAATGTCTACACTCTCCAATAGTGATTTTTTGATATCAACCTTTACTAGAACTCAAGCATATGAAATTTTGTTCAGATCAACTGTATATCTATCAGTGTACATAGGGGATCCAATAACACTGGCCACTTTGCTAAGTGCATCTGCAATCCAATAACCAACATGTAGACCTGGAAAATTCATCCAAAGAGGGATGGTTATGATGCATTTAGTATCAAAGTGGAAGTTTATTTCCCAATTCTATTAGATAAACGACTTATTGTGGTACGTATATGGGTCTGCTTGCATAACTAGATCTCTATCCTCAATTTTGAGGAATCGAAACACATAGTAGCCATCACTGTGATACAAGATTTGTGGATTTGAAACAAAATCCTAGACAAACGTAACAAAGTTCTCCATAGATTTTTCATACGGAGTATCTCCTAGCACATAACCAATTAATGCAGTAGCCTAATAATCATTTAGCATTTGGACATCTTCCTCGATAATTTGAACTACAATTTTACCATTTCGATGACTAGGAGGCATATAATCCAGTCTCATTCCCATCTGAGAGCTGCGATTTAGCTTTCTTAGGCCCTTCACATGTTGTTTCGACGAGTTATTTCCTTGAGCTGCTTGTACTTGTTCTTATAGGGTTGGGGATGACTGCACAAAAGACCCAACCTCTGAGAATTGTAGTCTCCGGGGTAGTGCTAGCACTTGGATTTTGCCCTTATGCTTCTCCTCCGCCGCAATTCGATCTGCATTGTTACATTCGCTTTCACAGTTACATTCATTTGCGGAGCTGCTTTCACTTTCCTCTCTAATTGGTTGAAATTAAGCTGGGAGGAAACTTCCAAAACTTAAAGGAGTGAATGCATGATGTACAGTAGTTGCCGGAGTAACGGTTAAGCTCGTCGTTGCAAGTTGTTTCCGTCGCCTTGTCATCGTTGGTGCAAGTTAGCCTTCGTTGGCTAAACGTGCGCCGAGAGAGAAGTCATGCGGTTTTTCACGTACCACCATTTGATAATAAGTAAACAGTTATCTTAAAAAATATGATGTAACTAGTGTAAAGCATCTCGTAATATGATGTTATTATGGACATGAAAAATGTAGATTTGTAATCCAAAAATCTATGTAAATAGAACGCAATGTTGGCTATCTAATTTGATACTAATAGTCTGTTTGGACATAAGAATTTTTTCACTTTTTTCGAAAAAAATTTGCTTTTTTCAAAATTAGTGTTTGACCTTAAAATTTATAATTTTCACTTGAAGATAAAATTTGTAATTTTTCAAAAATTTGAAAAACTCCAAAAAACTGTTTTTCAAAATTTTCACTCAGATCATTCACAACTTCAAAAACAACCCAAAATTATATTTATGTCCAAACATAACTCTAATTTTCAAATACCAATTGCACTTTAAATTTTTTTTACTTTTTTGAAATTTTACAATTCTTAAGTCTAAACGCCCGCTAAGACAGCAATTTGTATTATTTATAGTTCAAAATGAATTTAGTTGTCTTAATATTGGGCCCAAGCTGGCACTGGCCATTCTCTCCAAGTGTGTGCGTCTCATTTTATACGAAGGTATTTGACTAGACACATAGTTCAAGAAATAAAGGAAAACTCTTTAAACTTGTGATCTAAAATAATCTATAAAAATTTGTGTGATTAGAAATTATTTCATTAAGGATTGAAAATTTTAAAGTTAAATTATTACTAAAAAAAATGGTACTACTCTCTCCGTTCCAATTTATGTCAACATGTTTGACTGTGCACGAAGTTTAAAAAAAATAAAGAATTTTTGAATTTGTGGTACTAAACAATTCAAAAAGGGGCCCAAAGTATTTGTGTGGTTATAAAAGCATCTCATTAAGGGTAGAATTGTAAGTTTAAGCAAAATTATTTTCAAATTTAGAAAGAAGTTATTCTTTTTGAAACGGACCAAAAAGAAAATAGTTCACATAAACTAAACTGAAACGGAGATAGTATTATTTTTATTACTGACTTAAAATGAAAGAATATCATATCAAAATGGACGGAGGGAGTACATGAAAGTAGTAAGTTACGACGGTACTTATTTTTACTTTACCCAAAAAAAAATCATGTGAATACCTCGAAAGCAAATTTCAGTAAGGGTTTATTTAAATAACTAGTAATATGCTCCCGCTTCGCGCAATGCATTAGTCAATTTTTAGAAACGCGGTGCATCAGTCATTTTATAAATGGCAACTGTTAATAATTTTTTCCAGTCCTATATCAAATCGCGAAAAAGTTTGCTTGTTACTATGTCAATATTTCCATCACTATAGGTAGTAACTATTACCATAACTAATCTCTTTTAGAAGATATTTCACCAAATGTAAAAATATACTGCAAAAAATATCATATTCAGTATCGGCTAGTACTATATTCAGCACGGAATAAAACATGCAAGGACGTAACACTTGCTCGCAATCTCTTCTCCCTAGACAAAAAGAAAGCACTATATCCATAGATCAGACATAACAAAAATTCAATCAGCACAGAATAAATCAAACAGGAAAGCTAAATTATTTATTTGATTATCCTCCAAAATACACCACAAAGTAGATATAGCTACAATCAGATCAATTAACTACAGAATAAATTAGCAAAGCCATGATTACGTAATGGCAAAAAGAAATGTCCTAATATACATAAATAAAATAAAGATGACTCTCATCTTAAGTTTTTGAGTTCTATAATCTAGAGAGACTCTGCATACTGACTTTGAAGGAAGATGAGAAAAACATAGAAATGAAAAAATTACCCTTCAAAAAATGAGGCTTAAAACTTCCATGACTTTGATTGCTTTTTACAATTTCTAATCTTGAATTTACAGGTAAATTATCATTGAGATTGGAGGCTCGTCTTCTTTCATGAATTCTAAGGCTTGTCCCTTTGTTGGATACTCTTGAAGAGAATGAGCAAGTCTCAAGAACAGGTCTACAACTCCTGTCTCACTGGTAAAGTTTACATGCCGACCACCCTAGCTAACTAAAGTTTTCGACCACCTAAGGATATCTCTGCAGATAAGATGTTGTGCAATAGAATCAAATTAACAGGAAGCATTATATATAGTAGCCATAAACATTAGAAAGTAAAAAAATAGATGTTCGGGGATCGTATATTTCGTACGTGCATNAAGCCAGATCCTTCTAAGCTCTTAATGAAAAGCATAGTAACTGCTAAAATTTGCCTATTTTTGAGAGAACAGATAGCACCTAATCTTACAAACTTTCAAAATCCATTGGAACAAAACCAAACACACACATACATGTATTTATCCTTGAATTATGTATATATACAGATGTATGAATCTCCCAACACAAAAATCACCTTCATTCTTCCTTTTATCATTGCTTTATACATATATTTTTGGTAAAGATAACTTTTATTTGAACTGATGAATTTCTCTTTTTGTTCTGATCAGTTTTAGGAACTTTCTATTATGTTACCGAAATTAGGAAATAGAAAGCAAACGTAAACCAACCATTTTTTTCGAAAAACTCGAACTCTAAGCTTGCAAAATCAGTTTTTCTGAACTGTAAAACAAATTCCGCCTAAGTAATTTACCTTAGCTTGGCGATGAATGGATTGCACACAGTCAATAATCTCATAAAGCATCAAAGAGTTTCAATTACCTATTATTAAGAAAAAATATTGAACTTACCATATCACAATTGTGTATACTTTCTTCCAAAATTGATAGAGCAAGTAAAGATGTATCATCACAATAAAAGGCAATAAAATAAGTTCAACAGTATATTGGTACGTTGAATTAAAAGATATTGGATAAGAACAAAAGCAAATAACTGCATTGTTTTTCCTGTAGAAGTTTCTGTTCAACCTGCACAAAAAAAGAGACAGGAGAAAAATATAAGTATCATATACCATAACTCTCCTAAATAGCAGCATTTTCTGAATCTGGGTGCAAGGTCAATCCATATGGCATTTTTACGAGCACATTATTGCTTTTGTTTTCCCATAACTAAGTAGGTAACTACATTTGATCCAGTAGTCCTTCACTGCGCTGTGAATGAGGAATGAATTTAGAAATTAGCAGAGGATAGTGATAAATTCGACAGAGATATAGCAAATGAACGATAAACAATAGAAAAAGGAAATAGAGAGAAAGATTGTATAACCAATTAGCAGAGGATGAAAAAAATATCGATAGAGGTGAAGCAAATAACAATAGCCAAAAAAAGATAAAGAAGAAAGATTGGAGAACCAATTAGCTGAGGATAAAAAGAAATTCGAGAGAGTAAAGAATTAAGAAGTGGTTGTGTTTATGAAGCGGTATTTTTGAATACCGAGTTTTTTGAGTCGGTGTCTTTTAGAGACAGAGAATTGCGATGTTTGATGGTATAAAATTATAGGAAAATGGCAAATAAAATGTAAATAAAGATAAATAGAAGTCCTTGCGAATGGGATGTGCCACGTAACCGATAGAATACCCTTGAATTATATATATATATAGATAGATTTTTACTTTGTTTTCGTATCCTTCGCTGCTCCACCTAACTTTGGTTCTTCTCATTCACTACACATTGTTCTTCACTTCTCGACGATGGCAATGTGGATCTTCATTCCGAGCTCTCCGGGAAATGAAACTGAGAATTCCTCCTCTTTTTCTCCTACTAGTCTACTACTTGATGTCTTCCTCCTCCATTCAAAGGAATTAACAGCGTGCTCCAAAAATGGCTTGGAAAGAAAAGAACTTGAGAAAAGCACTGTGCCAAAAGTGACTACAACGACAATGTGGATCTATCGTCGATGGCTTTTTGGAATGCTCTCTATTGAAGAGGAATGAAACCCAGCTATTTAATCTGATAAATGCAAACCCCTTTCTTTAATTAACATAATTAAATATCAAATGATTCTTATTCTCTTCGAGTTTTTTGCAAAGCTTCAAGAGAACTTATTAATTCTGCCATTGTCGGCTCTTTTTATCGGAATTTGATGATGGTTATGTGGAGGGAGGATGGGATGGTCGATTTATTCGGAACAAAATAGGAATAGCAGATACGTAATCTAGGAGAATGTGGAATTTAACGTAAAAGACCAAAAAACCTTTGGAAGTTCCTATTTTAATGACGAGGCAGGGGTCTTTTGGAAAAAGTAAAAAAAATGAATACCTTGCTAGCTTATTACCCTCACGCGGTATGTTAGAAAGACTACAAAATATATATNGCAAACCATCCTTTAATAGTATTTGGTTTGGTTTTAAATTGATTTCAATGTCATGCCCCAAAATCTACCAAGATGACACGTGACGGGCACCCAATATCCTATCAACGTCGAGCGAATCAAATCATATGATATAGTTCGACCATATGCCACTTGAAAATCATATACATATTCTAGTCAAATCATGCAATGTCTTCAAAACCGAAACCATTTATACTCTTAAACTAATTACTTGTTACACCACTTTATATAAGACTATTGATGTAACGACCCGGCCGATTATTTCATGAATTTGACCCATGTTTTCCCTTTTGAAGCTTTTCATATGTGTATTTATAATTATTTGACTTGCCGGGGTGGTTGATTTGGTTTCGAGGAGTTTTGGATTGAATTGGGACAGTTAGTCCCTTGATTAGAGGCTTAAGTTGTAAGAGTTGACCGGAGTTTGACTTTTGTGTAGAGGATCCTGGAATGGTGTTTTGATAGTTTCAATAGTTTCGTGTGGTAATTTTTAACTTAGGCGTATATCCGGATTTGAATTTGAAGGTCTCTAGGTTGATTTGGTTCTATTTGGCGAAAGTTGAAAAGTTGAAGGTTTAGAAGGTTGATAGGTTTGGCCGAGAGTTGACTTTGATAATATCAGGTTCCGATTGTGGTTCCAGGAGCTAAAATAGGTCTGTTGTGTCATTTGAGACTTGAATGCAAAATTTGAGGTCCTTCCGAGTTGTTTAGGCATGTTCAACGTAAGTTTTGAATTTGAAAATTTGGATTAGTTCCTTAGGTTTGAATTAAGGTGCGATTAGTGGTCTAGATGTTATTTTGTTTGATTGAGGCCTCGACTAGGTTCCTATTATGTTTTGGAATTGGTTGGTGTGATCGTACATTGTCCCGGAGGCCTCGAGTGTATTTTGGATGAGTTTCAGACCATTTTTCCTTATTTTGGACTGTTGATGCTAGTGTTTGGTTTTCTTCATTGCTATTATGGCATGGCATTCACGTTCGCGGATGTTATTTTGTGGTAGGCGTGTTTGCTCTTCGCGTTCGCTATGGGGAGGTCGTGTTCGTGGAGCAGGAGGGGCAGTGACCTTCACGTTCGTGGGCGGGGAGTCGCATTCGCGTAGAAGGGGAGGTTGGTTGCATCAGGCCTTTAGCCTTCGCGTTAGCGTGTGAAGGACCGATTCACGTAGGCTCAGCAGTGCTAGGCATCCCGTTCGTGACCAAGTTCTCGCGATCACATAAGGTCTTCAGATGCATCTTCTTGTTTGTGCTTCCCAATCGCGACGTAGGTTCTGGGATCACGAACGGTATCATCGAGCAGACCCTTAAACATTCCATTTCGAGAGTTTTGGTTATTTTATCATATCTGAGATTTAGATCTCGGATTTGGGAGATTTTGGAGGAGATTTTCACGATTTGAATTGGGGTAAGTATTTGCTACTCAGATTTATTTATTATTCATGATTCCAATCTTGATTTTAGCGTTTGATTGGTGAATCTAAGTGAAGAAATGGGGATTTTAATAAAAACTTTTTTAAAGTAAAAATTGATAATTTGAGGGTCGATTTGATATCGGATTTAGATGAAATACATATATTTGGACTTGTATTGAAATGGGTGTTAGGAATTTATGAGTTTTGTCGCTTTCTGGGGTGCGGGCCCGAGGTTATTTTTTGGGTTTACTTTGCATTATTGAACCAAGATCTTAGCTTTATTATTTGAACTTGTTTCATATGGCTTCTATTGATAATATTAAGTTTTTTTTTTGCTAGATTCGAGTCGTTCGGAGGTTGATTCACACGAAAAGGGCTTCTTGAGGTACGTATCTTGCCTAACTTTGTGTGGGGAAATTACATCTTAGGATTTGGTCTAATTTGTATTATTTTGTGCTATGTGAAGGGGCATGCACATGAGGAGATGAGTGTGTACACGGGCGTATGTGTGGTTTGTGACAGGATTAGATCTGACTCTATTAGTATGCCTTGTATTGGGGTTATTTTCTACATTAATATGCTTTATTGTTAAATATTTTCTCGCACTCTTATACTATTGTCATGTTGCTGTATCTCATTGTGAGCTAAGGGCTATATCTTGATGTGATATTGGTATATTATTATTTTTGTGACATCGTGGCACATGTGGGCTTGTTGTGCGGGTTGATTGTTGTTATGTGGAGTAAAAGGGTAGTGAAATGCGCATGTGACGATATAAGGGTGGTGTTTATTAATGCGTATGCGGCGAGATAAGGGGACTTATGCACGTGTAGCTATATAAGGAGAAATTTCATTGTAAAGCTCACGCGGCGCCGTAAGGGTGGCTTGTTGATGATGTTATGTGGTATTCCGGGGTGATCCTTGATGTTATTCATGTGTTGGAATGGGTTGATATTCTGAATATATCCTTGTTTTTCTTAAATGATTTCACTTTGTGTTTTATGAGTTGTTGGTTGATTTGCCATGTTATCACATGCCCACCCGTTGTCAGTTTTATTTTGACATCTTGCACAGATTATTTGACTAGTGGATGTCTTGACTTGAACCTCGTCATTACTCCACCGAGGTTAGTCTTGGTACTTACTGGGTACCCACTATGGTGTACTCATACTATGCTTCTATATATTCTTTGTGCAGATCCAAGTACCTCAGATCGTACTGGTCATTAGGAAGTGGTGTCGAGCTATTGGAGACTTCAAGGTATACCTGTTGTTCCACTCGCAGGCCTTGGAGTCACCCTCTTTTACTTTTTTTTTTCATTGTTTATGCCTTCTCAAACAGTGATGTACATTTGGGATTTATCATGTATTCATTGTAGAGCTTATGACTGAGTATTATCGAATTTTGGGATTTTGACTGTTGTATCCCCATTTTGGCTATGTTATGGTATTTTTCAGCTTTTATTTAATATTTAAGTTGTTATATTCTGTTTGATCTCATCATGTGATAGACTTACCTAATTTTACGAACTAGGTGTTATCAGGACCCTTATGGTGGGATTTTAGGTTGTGACAATTGATAAGATACCGACCTTGAGAATAAAAATGATGATTGGTGATAAAATCGGAAGCTCACATTTTGCTTTTATAAAAGGGAGGAATATTATTGATAACATTATATCTAGTCATGAAATGTTTAAGGGCTATAATAAAAAATGGGTTTCTCCTATATGTGTTCTCAAGGTGGATTTAAGAACTTATGACACTCTTGAGCGGAGTTTCTTAAAAAGGATGTTGATTGATTTGGGGTTCCCTCACAAATTTATTTATTGGTGGAGTGTGTGCCTATTGTTTCTTATTCTTGGTAACTAATAATGATTTGTCTAAGCCATTTCAAAGAAAGAGGGGGATAAGACAAGGTGATCAAATGTCACCTTACCTACTTTTTATTTCTATAAAAAATCCGCAGAGAGTGATCAACCAGTTGGCCTTGAATAGTAACTTTAATTTTCATCCAAGATGCACGAAACTTGGTGTAATTCATATATGCTTTGTGAATGACTTACTAATATAACAAATATAGACAAAAGGTCAATATACTTTGTTGGTATTCCTGGTGATGCAAAACAGGAGATCATGCAAGAGTTAGGATTTATTGAAGGTAACCTTCCCCTTAAATATCTGGGAGTGCTTATGTCTTCAAAAAAGCCTCTAATTAGGCAGTTTTTGCCTCTTGTGGAAAAGATTTACTTCTAGGATAAAATGCTGGTTAGCAAAGTTATTTTCTTATTCTAGGAGGGTGCAGTCAATTAGTCTAACTATCTGGCAGGTTTTTTTTCTTGGGAGTGTTTTAGCCCCGTTTCCCCTATTTGATGCTTTACATATGAGTATTTGTGGTTACATGACTTGCCGGGGTAGTTGGTTTGATTTTGGGGATGTTTTAGAGTAAATTGTGATATTTAGTCCCTAGGACAGATGCATAAGTTGTAACAGTTGACCGTAGTTTGACTTTTATGTAGACGACCCCAGAATGGTATTTTGATAATTCCAATAGTTTTGTATGGTGATTTTAGACATAGGCGTATGTCCGGATTTTGATGTGAAGGTTCCTAGGTTATTTTGGCTTAAATTGGCGAAAGTTGGAAAGTTGAAGGTTTGGAAGGTTAATAAGTTTGACCGAGAGTTGACTTTGTTGATACCGGTTCGGATTTTGATTCTAGAAGTTGGAATAGGTTCGTTGTGTCATTTCGTACTTGCATGCAAAATTTGAGATCATTCCGAGTTGTTTAGGCATGTTCATCGTAAGTTTTGAATTTAGAAATTAGGATTAGTTCCTTAGGCTTGAATCGAGGTGCAATTCCTGATTTTGATGTTGTGTTATATTTTGGGATTGATTGGTATTATTGGAAGCGGTTCCAGGGGTCTCGGGTGTGTTTCAGATGGGTTTCAGACCATTTTTCCATATTTTGGGATTTATGATTTCTGTTATCTAGTTTCCTTCTTTGCGATCGTGACATGGCAGTTGTGTTCGCGGAGGGCAATTTGATGGCAGAAGCGTTTGCTCATCGCGTTCGCGGAGATTTGGAAGGTTGTGGCCTTCGCGATCACGAGAGGGGAGACGTGTTCGCGTAGAAGGGGAGGCCGGTTAAGCGCGTCAGGCTTTTAGCCTCCGCGATCGCGAGAGGAGGATACGTTCGCGTAGGCTCAAGGATGTTGTGCATCGCATTCGCGACTATGATCTCGCGTTTGTATAGGGCCTTTCTGGGGCAGGGTTTGGTTGTGCTTCGCGATCGCAAAGCGAATGGC